GTCTTATTTTATTGTTTTTATATGTTGGTCAAATGTATATTTTCAAGGCTAATAACTCTCAAGGGTAAAATAGGAAGAATAATTTCATTTATGTAATGATTTTGTGAAATGACAAGTACTCCGTCTGTCCAACAACAGTTGTCTACTACTCCCTCCATTTCATATTAATTGAATTTTTGAAGTGTTTCACACCCTTTAAGAAAAGTAGATTAAGACATAAATTGAACATAGTTTTTCATTTTTACCCTTATTAATTATTGTCAAATTAATAATTAAAATAACTAAACATTAATTATAATAACTAATTCTAATACTAACTTAGTTAATACAAAATGTGACTCTTAAAATGACGAATTTTATTTTTTTGAAACCAAATGTTTGGAGGTAAAACCTTAACAAAAATTTACATAGAGCCAAATTTAAAATTTTTATTTCCTCCTAAATTTATTCTATATAAAAAATTTGTTTTCGTAAGTATTGAAGTAAACATGGCTATACAATTTGATCTAAATATTCCATTTGAGCTTAATACAAATGAAATTCCTGACCTCATTATTGAAGTATAGATCAGAACATTGATAATTATTCAATTCCTGATCTGAATTTGGATCCCAACGAAGATAATGATATACAACTTGAAGTAAGAGTGTAAGAATCGTCGGAAGAATCAAACCTAAACTGTGGTAAATAATTATTGTTGATTTCATGTTGATGGTCTTTTAAGTGTTGCTGGAGTAAACCTTTGGTATATTAAAATCTCAGCCACTTTAATGTAGTAAGAAATTTCCAAGAAAGAATTCAAAGCAATTAAATTTTATTGAAGTCATCACATTGAAAATTCAAATAAAGGGTAAAATTGGAAGAATATTTTAAAAATAGTCTAGAAGATTGAACAATTAAGTTAATTTGAAAAATGAAAAATGCCTCAAAAATTCCATTAATATGGAATGGAGAAAGTATTGACTTGACATAGAAATTAAGAAACAATAAATAATAGGAGTAGTTTTACCAATTCACCTTTATTAAATATAATAAGTCAACTAAACATTGAAAAATGAATACTCCATCCGTTCATTTTTACTATGTCATTCTTATTATAAATAGTTCACCCATAATACTTGTCATTTTATAAAATCAATGTATGAATTACAATATTCTTCCTATTATACCTTTGATATCTAATTAGTCTTGAATATAGATATTTGAGCAAAATTTATTAAATCCATATCTTTTTTCTTGTGATAAATAAAGAAAAAGTACCTCTTAAATTGAAGTCTAGCATATTTATCATTCATTGAAAAATTGACTTTTAAAAAACATTATATAAGGGTAGAATTGTAAACTTGCTTAATTTCTTAATGCAAGTGACATTTAAAAAGGTGACATATAAAAAGGAACAAGAGGGAGTAGTATTTAATATTAAGGGTAAAATAGACACAAAATGACAAATTATTCATTGATTTTATAAACCGGACAAGTATTGTTGGACATCCCAAAATAGTATAGTGGACAAGTAAAGATGGACATATAAAGTCTTAAAGAACATCTATTTTTAGTAAGAATGACCTGTAAAAAGGAACAAAAAGAATAATAATTTTGTCCAAAATTCTAAGATAAAACTTATTTAAGACAATTTTATTTTTTTCAAGATAACACTTATTTTTCATATGATTACGACACACTTAAATATAGTTTAACTTTAATATAGTAACAAAGTATATAAAGATATTGAATTTAAATAAACAAGTTTTCTCTTGCCATTTAATAATAACTACTCCCTAAAAAGCTTTTTTAGTGCTAGAGTAAAATTACAAAGATTTTAGTGTAATTTTATACAAGGGAAGTCGCCCAATAATATAGGACAAGAAGAAGAAGCTAAATAAATGGGGATAAAATATGAATGATCCCTATTATATATATAGACTATTGTACAATGCTGTCAACATTTTATTCCTCATACACGGCAGATTCGATTTAAAAGAACCTTATTATTAATCAGGGCATTTTCGACAAAAGTGGGAACAACTATAAATGGGAAAGAATATAAAACAACATATATTCCAAAGAAGGGCATAAAGTTTATTACCTTGGAGAAGAATTAGAAAAAGAGAATGAATCATATATAGAACAGTTTTATTAATTAGTGTTGCAACTTAAATCGAGCAAGATAGTAAATAAGCATGGCCAATATATAATATCAGAGAAATTGACATAAATAGCCGCTCATCAAAATAATAAATAAAAAATATTATATTTTTTTGTATATCGATATATAATATACATAAATATATTTTTAATATATTTAACTAACCAACATAATTATTTTTTATCGACCAATCAAATACCTAACTTTTCTTATGGGTCTGTTTGGAAAACCACTTGGTAATTGAAATTGGTGTAATTACTAGGGCAGTAATCACTAGCCTAGTAATTACACTGTCTAGTAATTACGCTGACTTGTTTGGTTGTCACAGTATAATTACACTGTAATTACACATGTCATGTTTGGATGTCACAGTGTAATTACACATGTTCTGTTTGGATGCACAATTGCAATCATAAAATTATAATAAATTTTAAAAATAAAAATTAATTATTTAAAATTTATACTAGACAAATAAAAAACTTTATAAATGACATTAAATTAAATATTTAAGATATATATTCTTTTTTGAAAACATATTAATTAATAAACATATTTTCTATAACTAATATTATGAAAAAATAATTGATTTATATTTTTTCAAATTAATATATTTCAATTGAATTGATCGTAACAACTAAAAGTATGAAGTTTCTACGAACATCATGAAATGCATGTTTGATAAAAAGAATAATATATAAATAAAATGTCATAAATTAGTAAATGTTTGACAAAAATATAATCTATCAAGTCTAATTAAAAAATGACGTGCAATGTAAATTCAATATTACTAAAACAAAGGAAACCGAAAATATAACATAGGTTATAAATTCAAAACAAAAAATTTAACATAATTCTCTTATAACAAATTTCAACATAGCAATAAATATGATTTATTTTTATTTTTTCGTAATAAAGAAAACGTAAGTCTATAACCTTACTTAACAATAAATTCTATTTTAATTTAAAAATTAGAATACTAATAAAATTATGCTAATGAGAAAATAAGCATGGCATAAAGAAATAGATAATACGAGAAAATTACATAGAATCACGTAAAGTAAGATTGAGAACAAGAAGAAAATAAAATATATAAAATAAAAAATAAACTTTTACAAATTTTTAGAATAATAAAAATAAAAAAAGAGCTTAAAATAATAGAAGTAAAAAAAATTAAAACAAAAAAATAAAAATAGAAATAAAAAGAAGAAATTAAAAAGTAATCAGGTGGTAATTACACCATGTAATTACCAGCAATTCACAGTCTCAGCCTGTGAATTGTAGAGTGTAATTATCCCCTGCCAATTACACCAATTACCTGCTAACCAAGTAATTACATGTCCTTTCAAACAGGACAAGACAGTGTAATTACACCAATTACACCAAATCCAATTATCAAGGCGTCCTTCCAAACAGGCCCTATATATTAATCATCATAATATGCTTTTATTGTCTCTGAGAGAGTGAATTTAAACTAGTACAAGCTACATCCTCCCAATGACGATGTACATTTTTGGAGCTATACATATAACTCTATACATGGTTGTGTGAGTAAAGAAAAAAGAAATTTAGAACCTCAAAACTCTTAATCTTGGCTCTGTCTCTATTCCCAAAGTTAGTTGGCATAGTAATTTGGCATCATGGCATATTTATAGTACTACCAAATGCCAATTTATAATGCATCAAGATTGAAATAAAGACTCAAACTTAAATATTGTCAGAGTTTCTAATTATTTGATGGTTCTCATTCTTAATTGCATGTTAAGCAGGCATGTCATTAAAATCATCAAACATCTGATTTACTAGAATACCAACAAATTCAAATATTAGTATTATATCGAGATAAAACATAAAAATTCTTAAATTTAAAATTATCTATATGAGGGTTCTATTATGCTCTTGAACTTATTCCTTTCATATTATTTACATTCCTAAACAAGGCAAGGGTCCTATTATCAAGGGGATGATATATAAGACTCGCATGATTCAGATGTGTAACTAATAATTTTGTCATAATTAAAAAGTTCTTTAAGCCTTATGCATAGTTAGTTAAAGTATTATATTTCGTACCAAAAAAGGTTTATTTCTTGTGACAGTGAGCACTCCCCATCAAGAGGAAGAGATTAGATTGCCAGTAAGATATCGACATAAATTCCTTTAAAAAAAGAAAAAAGAAAAAAAAAGATGGACGTTAATGCTTAAGTATATATTCTTGTTAATTTCTACAAATATTAGTCTTACAACTCTACTAGACAGATTATAATTATAATATTCCCAATTTTTGTTTTGAGTACTAATTTTGTTTTGTTTTTCACCTGTAGCCATATTGGAGCGATTAAATTCGAATTTGCACCCAAAAGTCTCATATTGGGGTAAAGTGCTTCCTAACAAAGGCAACTCGAGACCTTTGATTAAAGGATGAAAGTTTTGAGTACTAATTAAGTAAGTCCAACTGTATATACTTTGAGAACATTGTATATATCTTCAGTATATCTAGGGTTTTCGTCTCTATTTCCTCACTTTTATCCCATCCTCTCATCTATCATTGCGCACTCGTCATCATATCTCTATCACCTATATATCGTCTTAAATGTTCTTAACATTATCATTCTTGAGCTTGAGCTTCTCCTTTACTCAGCTTCGAAAACTAGCTCAATCTCAAAATCAACACCTATAACAATAATTTGAGTTTTTCCCCTTAACTCAATTCCAAAAATTAGCTCGATCGATCCCACTATCAATATCTATAATAGCAACTTGGGCTCTTTTCTCGACTCAGCTTCAAAAACTGGCTCAATCTCAACATCATCAACAACAACAAAATTAGCATCACCACCACCACCATCATTTCAATTGGATGTGGAACCCTAAGGATGACGATGATTCGTGGGAAGTTAGGGCTTTTGAGGAAGATACTGGCAATTCCATGGGTGCAACTTGGCCACCAAGGTTCTATAGTTGCACCTTTTGTCGGAGAGAGTTCCGGTCCGCCCAAGCCTTAGGTGGTCACATGAATGTGCACCGTAGTGACCGTGTCAGGCTCAATCAAACACCGTCACATGCTTCAAATAGCTCCACTTTTAATTTCCCCAATGCCAATTCTACCCTCCTTATCCAAAATCAAGAATTCATCCAAAATGGTGGACTTTGCTTTCTTTACTCCATGCCTAATTATCATAACCCTAATCATACAACAATTAAATCTAGTAATGTGGATCCCTCAAATCTTCTCTCCAATATCTCACCCTTTTTGACAAATAATTTGATGTCTCCTTGCACTATTCCATCTTCAAATTTCCAGCCTCACAACATCAGCTCATCATCATTTAACACAAGTGAACCTTCAGCATCTAATAGTACTAGTAACGACAATAATCGCGATAAGAGGGATTCAACCATTGAAGATGAGATTGATCTTGAGCTCAGGCTAGGATGGAGATCAGCAACACCAAGATGACAAGCCATAAGAAATTACAAGGTGTAACATATATATATATATACATATATATATTGTGGGGTTGATTCCTTCGATGGACACTCAACTAATATCTATTATCTCAGAAAGTCACTCATATTTCTGAGACAATAACTGTTACTTGAATGACCATACGAGAAATCAACTCCAAGTTTTGGTTAATTTGTTTCCTAGACTTGTTGTAAGAAGTGATTTTATTTTCTCTTTCACGGATTGATTTAATTATTTGTTGGGCTAGCTGGGACAGTACTGAGGAGTAATTAATAGTAGTAATTGTAATAATGATAAAAAAGTTTTTAGGGTTGGAATCCGAGCTAGACTGTAAAAAGAAGGTTGCAGTGCAGTGTCATTTTCTACTTCCAGCCCATATGTATATTTTTGGGATCATATCATGTTTGGACGAATTTTTTGTCAAAAATATCCTTAAATTGTATCTCAAAATGTAAATTATATTTTCAAATTATTCTTCTTAATAGAAAACATCCTAATATTTACAAATTTAACATTTCTTATCCTTATGTCAAAATTTATCAAAAAATTAACGAATTTTACATAAAAACATGTGCAGTTCACACTACTCTCAACAAAACTCCCTAAATCACTTTAGATTAATCAATTCTTTTCATTTTGAGATACATCTATAATATTGTTGTGATTTTATTTTTATTTTTGACAACAATGCTTAGCATTATGCAGATTTTTTTAATTAGCAATTTTGTTTACATTTATTTTCAAAGAATTATCAATTGAAATATTTTCTTCTAACCGAATCTACAAGAAGTGGTGTCGATCAGAGACTTATACTTTTAATAATGGAGAATGAAACTTGAGGGTCAAATATCAAAATTAGAATCTTGATCACTTTAACAGTAATTACCCCAAAAATTGTTGATTTTAGTAGGAGGTAAAGATGATGTGAAATTAAGCTCCAACTTTATTCAATTATTAAAGGAGAAGAAGAACAAATCATGTCTCTCGACACCGTCCTAATTTCTTCTTCTTTTTCTTTTTTCAGCAAACAAGGGTTTTAGAGAACTTTAATTTTGTTTTTGGAAGCTTTTTCCAACGAATAATGAAATTATGGAAAAAAACTTTTGCTGAAAATAGTATGAACTGTACATATTTTTGTGCAGATTCCGTTATTTTTTTGACAAATTTTAATAATAAGAAAGAAGTTATTAAGTTTTAAATATTTGGGAGACATTTCTTTGTTAAAAAAGATAATTTAAAAGTGTAATTTTAAATTGAGGTATGGTTTAAGGATATTTTTGGACTTTATTTGGACTCTGGGAAAGAAAAATAAATCATTAGCTTGGGATTTCACTTTGAGTTAAATCGAACTACCAAATAGTACGTACATTATTTTCTTTAACATAAGTTGTACAGTAATTAATTGGAAAAAAGTACATTTTTTCTTAACTTGTAAAGATCACTTTTTAAACTACATATATATGTGCATATTGATAAAAGGCGAACAGAGTAAAATCACCATTGAGTTTATGCTTGCTTGGATATTATATTATAAAGTGTGTGATCATCTAAAAATTTATATTGTTATAAAAAACATTTTTAATTACTTTACTATATACGTCTTGCAAAATAAGAATTGTTTTTGTGGCAAAGAAGATCTTGCTCTTTGCCATCAAATAGGCTCAAGATGGGCTTTTTCATGAATCAATTACCACCTAATTTTTTTATTTTTCTAAAAAAATGGATAACGGTAAGTCTCAAACTCATAACTTTCACATGCTACTTTTAAAAATAAAGGTTTTTTTTATCGCGAATTAGTGGAAAATTTATGCTATAGAATAAGATTTTTTCATTCACTTCCCACCAAACCACACCTACAGAGAAAATGCATAGTGGAAAGTAGATTTTCACTGAAACAATGAGAAACTTTGTAATTTTTCCATACAAAAAGTACTATTTTTTTATTTTCACCGATCCATTCAAAATATATATGAAAATAGCTATTGAACAATTTTCAATGAGAAATTCAATGGAAATAGTGATTTTTAGTAGCGTGCTCTAGTACCATATTTATTTGACAGATAATGTTTTACCATATTAATTTAGAGTAAATTGGAAGCTAATAATAATGTATGTATGTTTGATATTTTCCTTCACACAATATATTGAGTAGCTTACATATGGATGTTATTATATACACATAATCAAAGACATGATGAGTAGTAGAGTACTGCTAGTTATAAGTAACACACAACTCATGATCTAATTAATTAGACTAACCCTTATTATGTGGAAGATTACTCTGATCATGATCACTTATTGGTGGGGCCGGGGTTAGGTATAGACCTCAACCTATAGATATAAAATATCACATTAAAAGTTGAGGGTACAAGAGGTGGCTTTTGTCCTGGCCTCCTTGAGAGATACATTTAGAATTATGAAAAGCTCATCTGATTGGAGCAAATGACATATATATTCTAATTAAAAATTAAAGGAGTTGACAATTTACATGGACAAATTTATACAAAAGTGTAGTGTCCTTTTACATGTTTAATTCTAAAACAAGAAAGTTCATGTCGATCATTCTTCAAAAGAGCTTGGTCTAATATATACTACTAAAGCATAAATTTAATTCGTTAATTATTTTAAGAAATATCATCAAAAGATGTGGTGCAGTAGATAAGGTTACTCTTTTTCTAAGTAAAGGTCTCGCTTTTGAAACCCGAATATAAAAAAAAATCTTAGTAGAAAGTGTTATTCGGCTTAGTCGGGCTCCAATCTGAATAATGAAGACTAGATACAAAAATAAAAAATTAGAAATTCCCCAATTTGTAAAGAAAGAATGTACTTTTTTTCCTTGTCATCATGTTGTACCAATTATTGCGAAGTCAAATTAGCTTTTAATCTCAGCACGAAAAGAAAATTAGACTAATCGATGGTACGGAGAAGCTGTTTCTATTTTTATAGTATAATTAATTAGAATGTGGAGAATTTAATTTCCATAGATAAAAATTAGCTCTTGATCCATATCCATATGAATGGCACATAATATATACTTCAATCTTGATGTGTTACATGCATATGCGTAGGGGTGACAAATGGTTGGATTGAATCGGATTTGGACGGATTGAATATGGATTGAGCAAAAATGATTTGGATTACAATGGGCACCCCCACCCCCCGGGGAGCCCCTCCTCCCCCACCTTCCACCAATCTACCCCTAATCTGTTTTTTCAAAAAAAAAAAAAAAATTACCCCCCCAGGCACCCCCACCCCCCATCTTCCATCAATCGACTCCTAAATTTTTTTAGTTTTCCAAAAACAAAAAAAAAATTACCTCCTCCCTCGGATACCCCCCTCCCCCCACCTTCCACCAACCTACCCCTAAATTTTTTTTGTTTTCCAAAAACAAAAAAAAAAAATTACCTCTTACCCTCCCCCCACCTCCACCAACCGATCCCTAAATTTTTTTTGTTTTCCAAAAAAAAAAAAAATTACCCCCTCCCCCAAGCTCCCCCCCACCTCCCTGGGCGCACCCCCTTCCACCAACCTACCCCTAAATTTTTTTTGTTTTTCAAAAACAAAAAAAAAAATCTATTTTTTCAATTAAGTTTGAAAATTAATATTAAATTTTTTATTTTTTAGCACAATTAAATTTTTTGAGTGGAAGTGAAAACTAAGTGATCTATTATGGGTCAATATGTATATCCATATTTAACCCATTTTGATCATATTTGTAGCGACTCTTAAAATAGTTTGAAGCCCATATTTAACCAATTAAAATAGGAAAAATTACAGAAATCCCACATTTTAGTTTACTTATTACCATTATCCCCTATAAGTTTTACAAATCTCCAACATCCCTCATTTTTGCGCATCAGATTAGTGTATCTCGCTCATCAAATTAATGTATCTCGCGCATCAGATTAGTGTATCTCACGCATCAGATTAGTGTATCATGTATAAAATGTAATGTATCTTACTTAACAATTAATGTATCTCGCGCATCAGATTAATGTATCAACGCTTATATTATTGTATCCATTTGAGGGATTTCTATAATTATAAACTTTTAAGGGATAAATTGTAATTTTACTTTAAAAGTATGTGATTTCTGTAATTTGTCCATTAAATTATGAGTGATTCAAATCATTAACTATGAACAAAATAGACTCATTTAATTAATATGGGCTGAAATTGTCACCCCTAGATATGCTTAATTGCTTATGCCATGAGCCCATGACTACGATTTGTCTATCTTATTCTTATTTCCCCTTGAGATAAGTGATGGAAGAAGAACGCTAAACTTAAATAACAAATTAAGGTTAGTGTATAATTCTTAGCGCTCCAGAATACTTGTCAGTTGTCATGTTTTACCAATTTGATTAATTTTTAAAAATTATATGAAGTAAACTGGGAGTAGGGGAAGGAGAAATGGGGAGAAAATTACAAGTTGAGATTCACCCTAATCAGTAAGGTGAAAATTTTTAGTTGTCAATCAACTAAGCTATTAATATTCCCCAAAAATAATTAATTGAATATTTTAGAATAAAAAAATATACATATATGTAAAAGTATACGAAAAGCACTTATATATGTAAAAGTATACTAAAAGCACTATATATAAAGATAATGTTTGACTATAGATTTTGGATCAGATTTTGAAAATATCTTCAAATATTTGTTTGGCCACGAAATTTGATCAAAAACTCAAATTTTCGCATTTCAAATTTCACCTTCAAAGTCTATGGTAAAACGAAAGCTTATAAGCTACAATTCTTCTCATATATTAACATGATGAAAGATACTATATACATTTTAAAACATTAGTAAAATTTTATATAATCTAACTTTCAATAAGCAAAATACGATAAATAATTTAAGACGGATGACGTATTGATTATGATAGTGCCTGCATGGCTTTAAAGTAATTTTGCAAGACAAGAAATGCTTTAATTTGGTCCCCCTTTATATTGCATATATCAGAACAATGAATTCAGTGTCCACACCATA